GCCAAGGACCCTTAGCCTACTAACAAGTACAGAGGCCAGATCTCTCCCTGGAAACATGTTCTTCAGTACAGTAGGACAGTAAACAATCAGCTACAAAGCGAAAGGCACAGGTCATATACGTCTAAGCATCAGAACTGGAAGTTCTCCCTGTGCCTCTGGCCTGGCTTCCTGCACACTCATTGGAAAGGCTTTCGTGAGACACAGAGCACATAGCAGGTACTGGAGGGAGGGCATGGTTGAGAACAGGTTGCCAACAAGTATACAATTTGGTAGGAATTTTATTACTTTTTTTTTTTTTTAATCCCAGGAGAGATAGACTCTCAGGGTTCCACAGCCACATTTCCCCAGGATCTCACAGGCAGATCTGAAGTTGAGATGAACCAAATTCACTGCTCTCTAGTCAATTCTGATGCACAGTGACCCTCAGGGCAGAGAACAACTGTCCCCGTGGGTTTCCAAGACTGTAGATTTTACAGGAACAGCAAGCTTCATTCTTCTCTCTCGGAGCAGCCATTGGGCTCCAACTCTGCACCTTGTGGTTCCCAGCCCAACTCGTAATGCACTACACCACCAGAGCTCCTTGAAATTGAGACTAAGGGGCCCTAAACATAAATAAATCCAAATATGCGGAGGATGAGCCAGAGTACAAAACATGAGAAGAGGAGGCTCATTTGGACGAGCAACTTGTGCTAAGTATACACAGGCTAACTGGAGTGGACTTGTAGAGCCCTTGAGGTCAGGCTAAACGGAACAGCTTTTATCTCAAGTGCCAGGAGAACAAGGAAAGTGACAAGATGGAACCCTAAAGCACTGCTCTCCACAGAAGCGGGTGCAAAAGAGCTCAAGGGCATGAGAGAAGGAAATATTTGAATATTATGTTTATGTTTTTCAATATGCAAGGTCTCAACAAGTTTATTTCTCATGCGTCCTTTCTTCAAAAGCCATCTGAAATGTGGTTTACCAGATGAGAGCAGATCAAAGAAAGGAAATGCCCCGGGGAAGGGAAAAAGAAGCATACACCCAGAACGGAGCAGGAAGAGTGCTCCAGAGGGCAGCAGAGGAGATCAGGGCAAATCCTGGACACCAGGTGGGCAAGTAGGAGGTGGGGGCGGGGCTCCAAAATCCACTGCAGTATGGTTTCCTCAGCCTGGACAGAATGCCAGCTGAGCCCAACCCACATGCTTACATGAACTTGGCTTCTGACCATGTACTTGAAGTTCTCGTCCTCCTGCCCGTGCTGGCTTGGATTCACTGACAGCGAGCACTGACCCCACAGAGTTCTTTGACCTACTCCTTGCAGGTGCCTGGAGGCCACGGAGAGCTGACAGCACAATGAAGGGGAGCACATGCTCGATGACATTTTCCCACACACAGGTGCCGACCACCTGTAAAGCTCCTCAGATGCTGGATTCTCAAGGCCTGTGTCCCGGTACAAACCATGGGCCTGACCTACCTACTCATGTTGTGGGGACTTTATACCCGCTCAAGAGATGAAACTAGTCTCTGTGTGACTGACCTTCCTCTACACGTGAGAACACTGACCCACACTTCCATAGGTGCTCTTGCACTTACTATCAGCCTTCCAGAATGAAGCAGCATATTCATTCATAAGAGGGAATACAGAGGGCCATAAAGAAACACAAGAAAATCAGTAACATGAAAGTCGGGAGAGGGAGGGAGGGATGGAAAAAAGAGGAGCTGATACCAAAGGTTCAAACAGAAAGAAAATGTTTAGAAAATAATGATGGCATCATATGTACAAATACGCTTGATACAATTGATGTATGGATTGTTATAAGAGCTGTAAGAGTCCCCAGTTAAATGATTGGGAAAAAAAAAAGTCAAGAATATATCTGAGAAGATGAGGAGGAAATATGGAATTGGGAAATTCCTAAAATCAAGGACAAGAAATTCCAATTCATAACCTAGGCAGTGAGTATACAGAAATTATTTCTCTATAAGCTCTATATATATGCTAAGTAAGACAATTAAAATGCTAAAAACTATATCATTTCAAGTATTCAGTTTGCATACAAGCCAACACTCATAGAGATTCCTCTCGTCTGTCAATCCATTTGTATTATTGTTACAGCCGAGTCCCTCCTGAGAAGTATCAGTGAATACGCAGCAAGGCACTTGTGAAGACCACTGCTCTCTTCGAAAAGGAAAACCCTCAAAGAGATGGACTGACACAATGGCTGCACCAATGGACCCAAACGTAAGACTTACCCATTGTGAGGGTGGCTGCAGGACTGGTAGCGTTTCATTCTGCTCTACAGAGAGAGGGTCGCTAGGAGTCAGAACCAACTCTTCGGCACCTAACAACAACAACAGCCCCCCTCCCTGCCAGTGCTCACTTACCGGAACTCTCTGTAGACATTATTAAAAGCAAGTGCGGCCCCCAGCCTCTTGGAAGCACTGGGGTGCAGGGCGAAGCTGTACAGTCGCTTGAACAGTGATTTGGTGTTTACGGGACTTCGTTCCTGCTGCTGTGGGGTTGTCTGCTTAATGGACCATTTGAGGAACTCTCGAACGCAACGACCGCAAAAGTCTCTGAGAGTGCTGTCAACGGGGTCCACAATGCCTTCCTGAAACCAGAGGCACAGACGACCAGTCAGTGTCCTGTCGGCCTCTGAGCATAATTTGAGTATACTGAAAAATTAATTTACAGTACAATTCAAAAAAATAATAATAAAAGGAAGCCCAATCTGATTATCTGGAATCTAGTTAATAATTTTCCTTTGACAAAATGGAAACATTTTCTTTTAAGCAAATTAGAAAAAGAAGTCTCTATAGGAGTAGAAAGTCTCATCTTTCTCTCATGGAGCTTCTGGGGGCTTTTGGACTGCTGGCCTTGTGGTTAGTGGCCCAATGTGTAACCACTGCACCCAGAGGGCTCCTGGAAGCAAGCGTTAGGCCAGGGTGGGGAACGTCCAGCCCTAGGGCGCATAAGGCCCGAGAAATCTTCACTGCCACCTAACCCCATATGCCCCACCAAAGAGGGGCAGTTCCAACATCACACACTAACGTGATGAGTTCATTAAACCTTTGACCAATATGGCCCAAAAATGATGGTATGAATATTCAAATAGCTCTTGACAGAAAAAAAGACTCCCCATCCCTGCCACAGGCTGAAATAATAAAATGACATCTGCAGGGATCAAACGTCAAGGTCTTCACAAAAGCTCAAAAAATGATAATAAACATCACATAGCTCTAGAATTTTGCTGGCCTCAAGCTCAAGTCAGGTTGATATAACCTTACATTATATCAACAAATGAAGGACACACAAACAAATCGGGCATACTCCTGTCTCTGTCTTGCAGGAGACAAGGTCAAAAACTACTGGTTCCAAAAAATTAAAACACAAACAAACTATGGTTCTAACTCTACCGTCTCAGGATATTATGTAAAAAAACAAGTTTCTGTTTTCAGGACCCTTCAATTGTTGAATAATTCCCCTGCATGCAGGAAAATTTCAATATGCTCAAAACATCTTTTATTCTTAACCCTATAATGCAGAGCCCGATGTTTTCACAACATTTAATTAAATATATATTTTAATATATATTTGATAACTATGAAAGTAAAGAATAAAAACAAAAATTTATTTCCCTGAAATTAAAAATTCAGGTGTTAGAGAGCTAAGTTAACTATTGCACAAAAATAACTATAACTCCAATAAAAATCTAAAATCACGCTTTTCATTCCTCTCATATTTAACACACATGCACACATGTCTACCCACAGGCATCTGAGCACACACGGGTAGACATAAGTGGGCACACATACACGCATCTTTATTAGAGACTATAGATCGATTGTCAAATTTGTCACCATCCTTCCCC